ATAGCCGTCCGTCACGGCCGGCGGCGGCGGCGGCGGCGGCGGTGATAAGCCCGAATAACAGTGTTACAGATGGTGCTCCTGTATCCGCCCCGCCAATTACGAGCTCGCGCTGTGCGCCGGCCGCCTAATGTCGCCCGCCCGCTCTCGTTGTGCTGCACCGCGTCACGGGTACAACAATACCACAGATGCATTAATGTTTTATGTAAAAGTAGGTTGATTTTAAGCGGTTATACAGACAAAAAGTTAAGACAAATAGTCAAGAATAATACAAATTAATACGCTTGAATTCTTTGTGATCTCTTACTTAAAATAAATTGTTTAAAATTTAAAGTTATTAAAGGCTCAAAATTCTTGTTATAATTATTCTTATGGTTTCTAAGGAATGTATCGATACGCTTATCAATCTCTGTTTACATTAAAGTTTAGGTAATTAGTAAAATTTAGAATATCGATAAATATTTATATCTGACAGGTTTTTTTAAGTTTTAAGTGTTAATATTAAAACTATGTTTTTAGCGTCAGTTTTCAATATATTTAGCATTTATACAAAAAATACAAGCTGAATTATATCAATTTTAGACTTTTATTGGTCAACAAATATTATAACTGGCGGCCCTGTTTCAGTACTTACATTGAAGTTTATAGAGCTTTTATTTATAGTTCTAAGAATTTCACTTGCGTTTTTTCCAAATTTATTATAGAATTTAGAAAACTAAAACAATCATAAGACGAAATAATAAAAAAAATCTATTTCAATTGTCAATCAAAATCTTAAGCAAAGATGAAGTCATAAATTAAAAAAAAGATATCGGATTTACGATATCGTACTTCGACAACAATCGTTTTTCATCCTACCAGTAGAATATAATTTTTTTCTCGGCGTTCCGTTTACGATAGATAAACACGTAATCCGACGTTCGTGAGCCGAGCCGGGGGTTTAATTTGAGTCTTTTAAGAGCGCCCGCGCAGCCCGGACGACCCGTTTCGCCGTCCGAACTCGCATCGGAATGATTTTCGGTGAAAGGGTCCGCTTTCGAATGCCTCCGAATTGAACAAACGTTGTGAAAGCCACATGAGGACGTCTGAATGGGCCGGGCCTACAAATCACTTAGAGCCGGCCCCGTGGCGCGTCCACTATTACGGCCGGCGCGACACGGCGCAAAATAAATAGAAATCTGTGTCCAGGGCGTGCCGCGTGTGTGCCGATTGTATCTGTGCTTGTACGTTTTATGTTTACATGGACTCACTATGTTGTGTGGATTGATTATTTTCCAGAATTGCATCGCCTTGATTTACTCTTTATTTGTAATTACATCAACAGCGTATTGATTAAATATTCATTGTGAATTGTGAAAATCAGACGTCGTTTTATAGTATATTGATAGATAATAAAAAAAATATTTATTATTTAATGTATAAAATATTTATTATTAAATATTTATTTATTTACGTATTATAGATAAATATTTCTTCTCTAAAAAAGTGTGAACAGGGACTACAAATCTTCATATGGTATGATTTCTGCATACCTTGCATATTCTTTGCTTTATTCATGCCTACTAATCTTTCATATAAACTCTTCAGGGTGCTTAAAATTTGGCCCTTCTCTAATATTCTATCAATTTAGTTGGCATAAGATATTTTAGGGCGCTGCTTGCCGACTCTTCATTCACACACATTTGCGCTATAAATTTCTTTTGTCAGTCTATTGTCATTCCTCCGTTCTAGATGGTCAGGCCACCTCAACAACTATGCCTACTCTAGTCACTATACCTTTTAAATATTACGGTTCTATCACATCTATTTCACAACGATACTCACATATATTATGTAGGGATCATATCTCCAGCACTCGATTCTCTACCTATACTTCTTTTCTATTCTACTGACTACACCTTTCAAATCAAGTACTTTGACATAATTGTTCATTACATGTATTTTTCAAAGATCTTTCACACATAATATGCAGGAATCATCACATTTACACTGCATTGATTCTATTTCAATGTTGCTTTTCACTTTAGTAACAACATCTTTCAAACCATACCATTCTCTGATATCATTATTCATTACTTCTATTTTTCAAGGACATATTTCTACATGATTGATTGTATGTAAGTACCTTCTCTCACATTCCACTTTCACTGAGGTATACAGACATAACGCCCGAATTCTATTGTGAATAGCCAAAGACATTATTTGCAAATCTAGTTTCTATCATTGAACGCCCGCTGCTGGGCATAAACCTCCACCTTAAATTTCCACGACTTGGGTCACCTGTAACCAACGGTGGATCGCCACCTCGACCAGGTCGTCAATGCACGTACTAGAAACTGTCTCACGTTAAGTCGTCCAGTTTGTGGAAGCTACTCAAGAACCTTTCCTCTTCAGCTGATTTCCTGGTTACGGATTTTATTTCGCAGAGAAGCTGTTTCCATTGCACTTTGCGTGACTTTGAGTTCGTTAATGGGACCAACAAAAGGGTGAACGTCAGGCATTTGTATATCATTACTAGCAACAAGCTCTGTTCAAAGACTTTCGTCTTTAGGTTCTGAGCTATATTGGATTTGGATATGCCTCGTTTTCGCGAACGCTTTGTGTAACCTCTTTGTCGTAGCTGAAACTGTTTAATTGTAAAGTTTGTTTCAGATGGACGTATTCGTTAAAAATGTAAATCGAAAGTTTTTCAACTATCATAGCAGTGGGTATAATACGGGCATTTAACATAATTTTTGTGTTTTCCATGCTTATTGATTGACTCACTTACTAAAAAACAATATTGTAACGTATTCCTCATTGTTGTTTATGCCATTTTATTTCTAATTTAAGAGCTTAAAATGCCTGCAAACTTTGCGGAGAAGAGTTTCTTATATATGACATCTCCTTTTTTTAAACTTCCCTACAGTTGCATTGATTTTGTATATTTATTTGTACTTACATTCTAAGTACAATAATGAATATCAAACACTTATCCTTGATATTATTCCATCTTGACATATGGAATCCTGAACACTCCTTTATTTCGGCAATTTGAACCATTTTAAGAAAATCAGTCCTATAACTCAATTACCCTCCGAAGTTAAAAAGGGAGTATTAAAACAAGTAGCATATATATTGAGTAGTGTGAGCAACCGCATTTGCGAATATTTGCCCAAGCGCACGTTTAAACTTTGTACTCATTATTTACGCATAAGATTGAAACATCATTTAGGGAAGCATACATTATATGTAAAATTTTTCCGATAATGTAATGATTACTTTCAATCTTCACTTGGTGAAAGAGGTATGTGGGTCAACCTGAAAGTCCAAAGAAAATCAAAAACTGAGCAAACTAGCAAGTTATTTTTATTATTATTGTTTTTCAAAATTGTGTCTGTTGAGATCAATACATACAATGAATGCAGCGATCTGCATTCGTTGCAACAACTGATATAAATACTTTGCTACTACTTCTTCCTCGCCGTCCGTAATAAAAATCGCATAGTATGAGATTGGGGCTGTAAGGCGGGTGAGCCAGTATTTCTAAACCAAATATCTCCAAATACTTAGTCGTTTGTCTAGCAGTATGTGGTGGGGCGTTGTCATGATGAAGGATAATCCTACTGTGAGTCGTTTTTTTTGTGATTTTTTTCCAAAACAAAAGGCAAACAATTATTAGTGTATCAGTCTGTAGTGACTGTTTTTTTTATCTTTTAAAACAATTACCGCAAAACGACGTGTCATTACGAAGAAAGAGACCACCATATTTTTTCCGGCGCTTCGACCTCGTTTTACTTTAGTGGCCAATGCATCGGAAGTCAATACTAACGGAGCCGACTTTTGGTTTCGGGATCGCAGCAGTAAATCCGACTTTCGTCACGTGTAACTATATGGTTACACGTGACGGAAGCCGGTTGTGATTCAATTGTTGCAATATATACAGCATTTGAGTCACAACCGGCAAATGTTTGCATCATTTTGCGATACCAAATAACACGAAGGAGTTTTTGATCTTCGGTCAAATTATGAGGTATTCACGGAGTACAAGGCTTCCTCAACGCTAAATGTTCATGAAAGATTTTGTGTACTTGTACCATAGCGATGATTAAGCTTGTCAGAATCTGCTAGTAGGCCACTCTCTTATTAGTCACATGAGCTGCACAGCACACATGTTATCTTAGTTCACCATGGTAGTAATACCTTATGCAGATAGTCACTCAGATTAGTGCGACCATGTTTGATGTTGTTAATTAGTTATAGCGGCAAGGGATGGAGCATTATCATGAAAGACCAACCGAAGTCTGCTATAACTTTCTTGCTAGCTTAAATGGCAATGAAATTCATAGAAAATCATTGCAGGAAAATTTTTCTTGTTTGGAATTCAAGTTGACGTTAGAAAAACAATTTTCTTTTTGTGGCCAATTTGTAAAAAAAAAAACTCATTAGATGTCTCCGGGACAACCGCTTGAAATGAAGTTCCTTTCGTTATATATAAATATATTTTTGAATTGAATAATAACAATGACATTAATTAAAAAGTTTGAAAGCAATTGAATAAATAATTATAAAATAGGTAAAAGAAAAATAGTAAGAAATATTTATAAGTTGTAAATAAACATTTTGTTTAATTAGGTTTTAGAAAACTAAACATTACCATCTGTTTCATTTATAAAAGACTTTGTTTAGTTCATAAGTTTGCACTATTATTTAATTGTGCAATCAATAATAAATGTCAGTCATATATTTATATAATTATTTATTTATTAAAAGTTTAAAATGGAACACTCTCTAGAACTGAAATAATCCAAGAGTTTCATTTAATATTTTAGGAAAAAAAGGAATTATTAATTATATACAATCACAATAAAATAAATGAACAACCTTTGAAAGTAATGAAACAAAAAGTACAACAAAAAGAATGAAATAATGGTAATAAAATATTATAATAAAAATTAAAATTAATATTTTATTATAAATTGCCAAAAAAGAATGTAACACCAAAAAAGTAAAAAACACGCGGTGTGTCACCCATCCAAGTACTGACTGCGCGCAACACGGCTTAACTTCCGTGATCGGATGACGACTGGTCTATTCAGCGAGGTATGGACGTCGGTAAACAAACATATAAAAATGTGAATTAAAGCAATAGCGGTCAGCATTTTTCCTTGTAGTCATACTTTTTTTTTATGTAACTCCAGTCCGCCGAGCGCTTGAGTGTATTTACATGGCATTTTTGGAACGAAGTTCCTAATCGCATAAGCAACTTCGTTCTAAAAATGACTTATGAATGTAATATATACATATAATAAGGTTGGCAAAGAGTTCTATTCTTTGAATTGAAATATGTTTTGTATTTTACAGTTTCTAAGTGGTCAGTTCTTAAAATTTTAAGTGTCACCTACCTAAACAGAACTATAATAGGTGCCCAACAATAAATATAGATTTACAGAATGTTGTTATTATAACACGTGCATCTTGATTAATTTTGATAGTCTCATAGAATAAATATAATTCATTCGATAAACGACTGTCCGCGTGTGTGCGATTTAAGCCCTGGTTAATGGTACGACAGACGTTTTATTCGATTTTGTGTTTCACACAAGTACGAGGCTGGCATCGTCTCGGATTTGGCGGCAGTCTAAATATTTACGCGGTTAGATCCCAGCATTTCGCTAATGGTATATAGACGAGCATGTGACTAGCTCTTGTTCACGGCTCTGGTCACCTTGATACTATTCCGATTATTAATCCTTCCCTCTTTACATCTGGCTCCCTTTACCGCACTCACTGTCACTTTTTACCTACCTCATCCTCTAGTTTCGTAACTCTCATAACGATAAGTTATTTTTCCAAGCAAAGCATGTAAATGAGCAGAGCGGACAAAATAAAATAATATTAATGACTTTTAAATTTTTTCTCATTTTTTAGTTAATTGGCATAATATATATATATATATATATATATATATATATATATATATATATATATATATATATATATAGCTTTTATTTTATGTGACTATGAGTTCTTACTCGTACTAAATTCATCAAAAAGAATAAGCCGTTGTCGAATTATAAGAAAATATACTGCAGATAGACAAGTATTAACTAAATTTTAAGCGACGATATGTTCGATTGACATATAAAATCTATAATATGGATATTTTAATAAAGTATAATTATAAGAATATATTTGTATATTTTATTATACGGTAAATATAGACAAAATTTTGTTTGTCTATGTACTTCTTTATACAAATAGAAGGACAGATAAACAGTTACTTACGTTTTATGTGAAAATGTGTTTTACCAGTATATTAAATTTCATCAGTTTTGGTTATGCTATTGCTAAATTATTATTGCACACAAAAAATAATGAAAACTATTGCCTAGAACTAATTAGCCTATGACTTGTTCCAGAATTCAAATTATCCCTTTAAATTCGATCATAAATGGTTTAGTAGCTTAGCTGCAAACACTAAACAGACAGCTAGACAGGCCTCATTTATAATATTAGTATGGGAATAATAAATATTCATGAATATTGTATAAATAAATCTCATTTAGTAGATACAAACAGATAGTCAAACAGTAGCCAATTATTGAAAGTTTAATATCGACAGGTACGAGTTCGCGACAGGCAGAGAAGGATTTCTAATATAGATATCGAATTGTCTGTGCGGCCCCGCCGCCGCCGCCGCCGCAATAACGGCCTTTTTCTTTTATTCATCACCCAATTACAGTAAAAAGGGAATTTTATTCCTTCCGTACGATAAATTTATATTTTGTAATAAGGAGGTAGTAGAGCGAGCTCGTCGTGCGCGTGCGCCGGGGTAGCGTTCAGCAGCCGCCGCTGCGTGTTCATTCATGACGATTGGACTCGTACAGACCGTGAACGAATCAACCTCTGCATCGGAACATCTTCGGACGATTCGTAAATAAAGTTGTGAGAGTTTGGGGAAAAATTCGGGCCGAGCGGAAGCGACCGTAACGAAGTCATATTTTACGCGGGCCCGGTCGAACCGCGGCTTGCATCGAGCGGTTCCAACTCTCCGAGCTGCGGGGACGTTAGTAAAAAGTTGTAAACTGGCAAAATTAGTCGGGCGCGGGTGGTCACCTGGCGGCCGCGCGCCCGGCGCTCGTAACTCAGGACAATGAATCTTGCCGCGGCGCCCGGCCGCGGGGAGCGGGGGCGCGCTCCGCCTGTCCGGATTAATTCGGCCTATTATGCCGGCGCCGTCGTAAAATAAAACCGGTCCAGATAAAACTGGGCTTTTCTTTAATTTCAGTGAGCGCCGGGCGTCGGGGAGGTCGAGGGGCGTAGGCTTCGACGCTCGTGTTCCTGCGCTGACCGAATTCCAAATTAGAGTTTTCTAAACTCCCAATTGTAGGTATTACTATTGATATACTGCAGTTGTAAATATGTTAGTTATGGCGTATTCGTATTTTTTTTGTTTCGAGATATTGCAATAATTATTAATTTACGTAACTAAAATGATTTGTTAACTAAAATGATCCATAATGTTATTATTGATCTTGAAGAAAAAAAAAAAAACGATAAAACTGGGTCAATCGCGAATGAGGATCGTGTGGTGAGGATTCCGTACTACCATCACATTAGATTTCGGCGAAATTAAGCTTTAATCAACGTCAACCTTATAACTTCTAAGATCAAAATATTTATGCCATATGATTATAACTGGATTATCTAACTCTATTTGTATGTAATATGTATCTACGTAACTATAACTACTCCATTCGGTAGATATGGAGAAAGCTGCCCGCGAAAGACGGACAGACAGATAAATAAATCTACATGAGAGTGATGCTCTAGGGATCTCATTTTTTTATTAAGTACATTGAAACCCAAAAAAAGTAAGTCTATCCAGAGTTGAAGTTTTGCTTTATAAGATTGATTCGAAAGCAATGCTTTGGCCACTCAGCATATTCATTATAATGATATCATTATCCATATGTACCTGTTAAAAAGTGAAAATTTCCTTTGCAAACACAACTTATAACAGGAACTAATAATAAGTTAAATGAAAAAAAAAATACGACTCTTTAAAAGTAGCGTAAAAAGCATAAACTAATTTCTCTCAGACCAATGGCCCGATACAGATTTCTAATTCCGTCCCAGATAATAGCTATAAAAATATTTATAAGATTAAAAATGAAGAACACGTGGAACATTTTGACGTGACAACATCTTATAAATTGGTTTGCCGGGTGACACTTCAAGAAACTGCGTTACGCTCCGCTCACGTTATGCGCTCACAATGAGAGCGAGTGAGAGGCACGCGTCCCTTCCACTCGGGCATGGTTAGCCCGCCTAAGAGCGAGAGAGACAGACATAAAAAGTGAAAGGCACGCGTCCCTTCCACTCAGATAGGAACAAGTTAAGTTGTAGTAAACGCTGTTTCATTGTACGCAAATGTATTGCAAGTTATTGTATGTATATTTGTATATAAATACGTATGTATGTGTAAAGGTAAAAATAAAATTTTGTTAATATGAAATTCAGTGCGAGATTCTTTGTATAAATTAATGTTTTAAATATAATTCTTTGTATAAATAAATGTTTTAAATTGTTACTATTATTTCATCCTTCTTCCTACTATACGAATGAATATTCACATTAAAATGATTTTACCACTCAAAGTCGTTGTCACGTAAAACTTTCGCCCGTATACCGACTTTACAGGCAACCAATTTTTTTTTTCTTGTTTTTTTTTATCTCTCTCCACACTTAATTCTTTAATTGAATGATATATAATAATCCGTAAAACATGTTGATTGTACGAAAAGAAGCACTGAGAAACATACAGAGAGACGAGAAAGCGATTTAATGTCGCATTTTTATCCCCTTTTTAAGATGCTATAAGTTTTCCAGCTCGTCGGGTACTTAGTTTAAAATCGGCATTGAAATTTGTATCAAACAGACGGACAGACCAAAAAGCGAGTTTATACAAACGTGTTAATAAACTGTATCAATTTATTTATTATTTGTTTCACATTATTTGGACAAAAATAAAAATATTTCAATGTATTGCATGCTTTAAGCGCTAGCGTAGGAATGCTTCTACTGTCGCCTGAAAATCCCGTCCACACTGGGTGTGACCACGATAACTAAAAAAACTATTTAATTTTTAAACTTAATTTCTTTTTCAATGTCATCATTAATCGATAGGAAATAACTGTATTGAAAATCATAGCTTGATATAGTACCGATTAGCTGTAATTGAATTTTTTAACTCGCAGTTATTCATGTTTTGATCTGTCATTTAGATTAAATATCTGAAATAGAGATTGAAATGAATGTTTTATGTTTTTGTAATTGTCAACAGATGGTGGTAGTAATTAATATCATCTGATAATATCGTATGATATTACTACCACCATCGATAGTATCGTAGTAATATCGCCCGAGGATCAGCTGTATGATTTAGTTCAACTGTTTAGCTTTAAATCGCGCGCGCAGGGTGCCCGGTTTCAAATTTGTCCTAGAATTTGTTTTTTTTTTATTTATTTTTTTTAAATACTTTCAAACGTTTTAATTGATTTCAAAGTTATTTTTAATGTAATTAGTAATACGTTTATATTAACAACAATTATTGTATAATAATTTTAATCAGTGACTTTGGGAAAGTTTTGAAGAACTTCAAAAAAGGATTTTTGGTGAAAAGCTCATATATTATCATTAACCTCTAATTTAAATAACATAGTATATCACGAGCACTTAACGCATGGACATTTGGTTTGACCAAATTTCTTAATAATGTGTACAAAGACTTAACCGACATTTTTTCATTTACGGTCCCCGGTGCCGCAACGCCTTGGACCAAAATATTATATACTATTGATATTAAACTTTTTAATGTATGCGCCGTCGTAAGAAACGGCCAGCATCGCCGGTGTGCTGCACCGGGGCGGGCCGCACACAAACGAACAACAAATCACATCCACTATGGCAAGGATCAGATAAAAGACATAATCTCGGACTCGTCATCTGAGCGAAATGATCGCAAAATATTATGATTATATCAAGCGGAATTCACGGGACGTTCGCTTTTCCTTTGTCTGCGGGTCGGCGGCGGCGGCGGCGGCGGCGC